CTTAAGGGAATTCGGGGGCTGATTTCAGACTTTAAGCACTTCCCCCCAAAATCCTACCCAGATTCCCAGGAATCCCAGCACAGAGGCTGCACTCTCCTTTCAGTTGGGCTGAGGGAGGGGCCATCCCCAGGGCAGGGGCCAGATGGGAGGCTGGGTTTCAAGGCCTTGGCCCTGTCCAGGGTCCTGACTCCTGGTCGAGCAATTTCTTCAGCCCTGAGGCACCTCACTTGGCGTAGGGCACCCCAGATTTGCACCCTTGGGGTGCACAGGGAAGAGCAACTGCTCACAGGTCATCAAAGGGCACCTCTCTCTACGTCACCTAAACCCACCCTAGCCTTTTCACAGTGTTGGGTACACTGTGTACAATGCCCAGGGTATGCCAAGTACTCCTGGTCCTCAAGATCCTCACCCCATCCCTGTTCACACTTAGAGATGGGGAGACAAGTGAACCATAAGTTCCATCGCTCGGCAGCTCCCAGGGAGGGGGTTTCCACACCACACACATCACTCTGTAAGCATTCCCACTGGGGACTCCTGCCACACTAAGAACAGACCGTGTGACCAGCCTGACGGCCACCCCACAGGCTTCACACTCCAGGGGAGTATGACTGGGCAGATGGGGCTCCCAGAACCCTTTTCACCAGGGTGTCCAAAACCCTTAGCCCCCAGGCCCAGCAGACTATAAAGGCCCCCCACCCTATTCACATAAAGAACAGCCCAGCTAGGAGATTAAGTGCAAACATCCTTCAGCGCCAAATCTTTGCTTTCATCTCACGAGCCAAATAATTTGGAAGCTTTCGTTGGCGATTTTCTCTCTGCCCCTGATAACTCAGAATTTATGCCGGACATGGCTCAACCTTCTCACTTAGGGGACGAGGGAAACCTTGCAGGCTGCTCTCCAGCCTACTACGGGAGGAAAAGCTAGTCCTTGGCAACCATTCAAAGCTTGGAGGCGGGGAGGACTTCCTCAGCCCTCAAGAGGCCCAGGACTTGAGGAAGGGGAAGTGTTTCCCAGTCAGACCTCAAAGCCACCTGCAGAGGCTCCAGGGCTTAGACCCGGGGCCATATGTAGCCAGTCCCCGGTGAGGTTGGGCATCGATACTCTTACTAGAGCTTGACTATTTTTAGGTGTGGAAGGGTACAAAGACTTGGGCTGGAAAACCCAAGAGGCAGGGGAATTTTCTGCCCCATGCAAATTGCTCTTCTCAGCCTCCGCTGACACCTGTTTCCTCCCAGGCGGGCCTGATCCTGGGTGCAGATGGCAGCCTTGCCTCTGGGAGGCGGCCCCTCCTCCTCCCATTGGTGGTTGAAGGGTGCAGGGTAGGGACAGGGGACTGGGCAAGGGCAGGGGACTGGCTTGAGATCCCCCTGGAGTCAAGAGGATAAGCCAGCCTAGGAGCTCCCTAGACCTTCCCTACCCCACTTCAATCTGAACAGCCAGAAAAAGCAGGAGTCAAGAAAGGCAGGTTTTCTGGGCGCGATGGCTCATGTCTATAATCTCAGCACTTCGGGAGGTGGAGGCGAGAGGATTACCTGAGTCCAGGGTTTGAGACTAGTCTGGGCAACATGGTGAGACCTGTCTCTACAATAAATTTAAAACAAAAACAAGCCAGGCATGGTGGTTTGCGTCTGTGGTTCCAGCTACTTGGAAGGCTGAGGTGGAAGGATAGCCCGAACCTAGTAGGCCAAGGCTGTGGTGGCTGTGGAGCACGCCACTGCACTCCAGCCTAAGTGACAGTGAGACTCCTGACTCAAAAAAGAAAGGAAGGAAGGAAAGAAGAAAAGAAAGGTAGGTTCCCAACTGCACTCCAGCCTGGGTGGCACAGTGAGACTCCAACTCAAAAAATAAACAAATAAACAACAAAAACAGAGAACAAAGTGCAGGTGACAATTCCAGCCTCCCTGGACCAGGAAGATACACAAAGGTAACTACTGTTTTATGAATTCAACCACAGTAATGAGAAAATCCCCACAGGTCTCAGAACTGAAGGACGTCTGGAACAACCAAGCGGGAACAGGGCTCCCCAAGGCTCCACGTGCCTTTTGCTTCTCTGGCTGCATCAAGCACATCCTTCGTCCCTGTCCCCATCCCCGTCCCTCCCCCAACAAACGGGTTACTCCAGAAAAGCAGTTCGAGCCTCAGAACAGCGTCCTCCCACCCCCACCTCACTCCTCACTGCCTTTCCCTTCTAATAGCATTCCTAGAGAAACCTCCATTCACCTCCACCCCACCCCCGCCAAGGGGTCAGGAAAGGAACTCAGACCAGGGGAGGGATAGGACAACAGGTCTCAAAGCATCCAGCCCCCACCTCCCAAGGGGAGGGTCCTAGGGTAGGACAGTTCCCCCTGCAGGAGGAAAGGCGGAGTCCTTTTTTCAAATGCAAGGCTCTGCGGAAGGCCCCCTCCAGGGGCTGGCTAAAGACAGAGGCTCCGGGATAGCCCCAGGGGAGAGGAAGAGAAGAGGAGGGAGGCTGGCTTGGAACAAAGACACCCTCCCCCACCCCACACCAAGGACTCTGTCCCAGAACTCCGAGCTTTCGGCCCTTAGAATTGTCAGCCCCAAGGATTTAAGGTCTTGGCTACATGCCCTTGGGATCCTCACTGTCCTTATCTACAACAGAACTGAGAATTCTCAGCTAGGTTTTTTTTTTTGGGGGGGTCCCACTCTGTATAGCGGGCTGGGGTGCACTAGAAGGATAATGGGCTCACCACAGCCTTGACCTCGTAGGCTCAGGCAATCGGTTCGCCTAAGCCTCCCAAGTAGCTGGGACTACAGGCATGCGCCACCATGCCTGGATATTTTTTTTTTTTGGTAGAGACAAAGTCTCGCTATGTTGCCTAGGCTGGCCTCGAAATCCTGGACTCCAGCAATCCTCCTGCCTCAGCCTCCCAAAGTGCTGGAATTACAGGCATGAGACACCTCTTGGCCAGTTTTGTTTGCTTGCTTGTTTTTTTTCTTGGGGTCTCACTCTGTCGCCTAAGCCAAAGTACAGTGGCATGATTATGATAATCAGGGTTCACAGCAGCCTCCACCTTCGGGGCTTAGGTGATCCTTTCACCTCAGTCCCAAGTAGGTGGGGGACTACAGGCATGCACCACCATGCCTGGCTAATTTTTTTTTTTTAGTAGAAGTCTTTACTCTGTCATACACACTCACAGCCACTGCACCCTTGACCCACTGGGCTCAGGCGATCCTTCTACCTCAGCCTTCCAAGCAGCTGGAACCAAGACGTGCGCCACCACATCCAGCTAATTTTTTTTGGATTTGTAGAGGGAAGGTCTCACCAAATTTTCCAGGCTGGTCTAGAACCCCTGGACTCAGGCAATCCACCCGCCTCTGCCCCCCAAAGTGCTGAGATTACAGGTGTGAGCCACCACACCCAGCCTATTTAAAACTTCTCAGTTCTGTTGTAGAGGTGAGGTTTTCCTAGGTTGGCTAGGTTAGGGCTAATTTTGGGGGGGGTTTTGTTTTTTTTAGTTGGTATCTCATTCCGCCACCCAGGCTGAAGGGCTCCCGGTCACCAGAACCTTGCCCTGCTGGGCTCAGATAATCCTTCCACCACAGCCTTCCAAGTAGCTGGAACTACAGGCATGCGCCACCATACCTTGCGAATTTTTTGACATATTGTAGAGACGAGGTCTCAAACTCATGGGCTCAGGCAATCCTCTCACCTCAGCCTCCCAAAGTGCTGGGATTAATAGGCGTACACCACCATGCCCCGCATGGGCTAGTTTTAATGAAAATTGGTGGCTCAGCCTGTAATCCCGCGCTTTTGGGAGGCTGAGGTGAGTGGACTGCCTGAGCCCGCGGGTTCGAGACCGCCTGGGCAGCGAGACCTCATCTCTACAATAAATAAAAAAAATCAGCCGGGCGTGGTAGCACATGCCTGTAATTCCGGCTACTTGGAAGACTGAGGCGGAAGGATCGCCGGAGCCCAAGCAGGTCAAGGAAGCGGCCACTGTATTCCAGTCTGGGCGACAGAGTGAGACTCCAACTCAAAAAAAAAAAAAAGAAAGAAAGAAAGAAAAGAAAAAGTAGTGTCCCAGCACTGGAAGGCGTAGGCGAGAGGATTATCTGAGCCCAGAGTTTTGAGACCAGTTTGGGTGGTTCCAGCTACTTGGAAGACTCAGAGGGAAAGGACTGCCTGAGCCCAGCAGGTCGAGGCTGCGGTGAGTGTGCCACTGTACTCTAGCCTGGGTGAGAGAGTGAGACTCCGACTCCAAAAAAAAAAGTAGTGTACAGTCTCAGTGCCTGCCTACTCTGTAGGCTATACTACAGTGTCCTGCTTACAAGCCAGATTCAATGATCCAGCAGCCTCATCTGAGCCAAAGGCCTCTTCTGTGCCCAGTACAATGAATGGTGGTATTAGCACTGGAGACCTAAGACTGCAATAAGGTTGAGAGTGTGATTTTCCAGGGACCATGGGCAGCATCAGTCTACCCACCCACCCCCAATGTTCTTCTCCACACCTCTACCTGTTGTAGGAATCCCGGGTCAAAGAAGGAAGGTTTCCATGCAGACGCACGGCACACGCATGAAATGGGCAAAGTAAGGTGCATGTAACTAACCAGATAGCCTTGAGGACCCCCCCCCTCTTGAACCCTTGTCACCCTTGGCTCAGCCTTCAAAATGTCCCCAATCCTACTGCTTCAGACTCCACTGCCACCATCCATTCTAAGCCACTAGTTTCTCTGCTGAACAATTGCAACTGGTCTCCCTTCTCTCACAGCGGCCAGTGGGACCTCTAAGGAAACCATCAGACTATCTCATTATCCTGTCTGTGATCCTCAGAAGGCTTCCCCTCTCCCTCAGATCGATAGGAACGTCTTTACGATCCACAAAGCTTAGGTAAACTGTCAGCCCACCCCATTCCTTCCATGAGCCACACTGCCCACGTCCTTTGTCAGGTATGTTCGTCCCCCGCCCATCCGCCCAGCTCTGCCTTGGTCATCTCCCCAGCTCTGCTGCACCTTTATCTGGGAAGCTCCTCACTACCCACCTCTGAGGGCTTCTTTTCGTTTTGCCGGGGCCAGCCCGACTTGGTGCTGCTGGGCAGTTTGGAGCATCTTGATGCCGATGTCGATGTGGCATGACCTGCAGAAGAGAGAGCAGTCAGTCCCTCAGGGGTCCTGAAGGGTCAAGAACACCATCCACCCGCGCCCAAGGACAGGAAGCCTGTGCAGGAGAGATCAACCTCCTGTGAGCACCTGGTGGCCTGTCCCTGCCCTGGGCCTCAGTCTCTCCACTGATGAATGGGGACACAAAGCCTCCTCTACTCACCGACCAGAAGGAGCTGGGAAAATCAAAGGCAACTCCTGGGGCTCAGTATGAGTTCACTGTGTGACCCCAGACAAGGCCCTGGCCCTCTTGAGGTCTCTACTTCTTCCTATCCTGCTTATCCCAGGAGACCTGGAAGATGTCTTTCACACCCACTTGCCGCCCCGCCCCAAGTTAGATGCCGTCATGATATTCTGGCACGATGCCCACTGGGTACAGGGCAGGGCAGAGCAGTGGGAAGAACATCAATCTCAAGCGGACCCACAGACCACCAGCTTGAGCCTTGAGCTGGACACTTACTAGTTTGGCACTCTGGGCAAATGACTTTGTCCCTAGGAACCTCAGTATGTTCTTCTATAAAACAGGAACAAGAGAATAACTAGCTTCAAAAGGTTCTTGTAAGGAATACATGATATATAATGAAGTGTAAAGTCTTAGCACAGTCTGGGCACACAACGATTCCTCAGTAAACATCAGCTATACTTAGTATGGTCTAAGGCCCTCCCTGTGGCCTCCATTCCTATGAGTCAAAGGAGCAGTGAGAAGGGCTATACATAGGGAGACCACAAGGCTCTGGCTGAACAGGAGTAGCGGTCATGGGTGGACACAGTGGTGGGGGCAGGTGGGGAAGGAGGCGGTTCCAGCCCGGCCCAACCCTGATGCAGCTACAGGGCACACACCCCTGCAGGTACCCGACCCTCTCAACAAACTCCTTTGCCTGCAGTAAAGTTAGAAGTGGAAGATGCGGTTTACAGTTCTACGGGCCAGGCCACAGGCAGCAGGCTGCAGCCACAGGAAGCCAGATACTGTGATCTCCTTCTGCAGGCAGGGAGGGCTGGCCAGGTTGGACACCAGAGCCAACCTGAGCAAACAGAACCCAAAGGACAACAAAGAGACCTGTAGGTAGCGAAGAGGCTGGGGCCTGATCTGCTGTCCTAGTGCATCTATCCTCAGGCTCTTGGGGGCTGTGAAACTCTAGGAGGTGGGAGGGGCCTCAGAGATCCCCCAAATCTCGCTTGCTCATCATATGCGTGAACAATCAGGTCTAGAGTTGCAAGGGCTTCAGACCTGGCCTCCCTGGCAGTGCAGCCTCTTCCTTAGTCTGGGTCTCCACCAGGGCAATGATTGCTAGGTGGAATCTTCCTGGCAGCATGTTCCTCCTACTGCAGCAGATGGAACTCCTTACTCCAACAGGCACAGGTAGTCCTGGTTTCCTGGGGCATCTGAGAAGAGCTGCCTTACGACCTTGTATCAAAACTCTCACCTTGCACAAATCTCCTTTTTCTTTTTCTCTTCTCCAAATTTCAGGGGAAGCTCCCTAAACTCCATTTGCTCCTTGACAATGCATCCCATCCCCTTCCCCCACCACATCACATCGATACACCCACCCCACACTCAAGCTGACCTCTGAGATTCTATTGCCAAGATCCCACAAAGGTCAGCCTTCATTAATTTGTTCAGCAAACACTGACTGAGCACCTACTACGTGCCAAATCGCAGCTGGAGATACAGCAGTGGGCAAGACCTGAGCCCTCTTACCAAGGAGCTTACCGCCGGTTAGGAAAAGACGCTAACCAGGTAATCACAATAAAGAGCGATAGGCTCCGCATCTGTTGTATTGGGACTCTCTCTAAGGACACTGACTGAACATATGTAGAGACCCAGCGGGGAACTGATCTGTTCCAACCAGAGCTGAGAGCGAGAGGGCAAAGAGGAGACGAGGTGTCAGAGGTCACGGTAAGGTGCAAGGACTTTCAGGAGCGGAGAGACAGGAGCAGAGGGGCCTGAACTGATTTATGCTTTCCTCCTCATGCCCCGTGGTAAAGCTAAGATCCTGGGGCAGCCTCCTCCCACTTGGGTCTATGGACCTGATCATTCTTCCAAAGCTTTCCCTGTAGGAGCCCGAAGTTGGAAGGACTTACTGTCAGTGGTGTCAGAGTTGTCGCTGCTGATGGAGTATTTTCGCCTCTTCTCTTCCATCTGCAACAAAGGGCAGGCCCATTACTACTCACGGATGGCTTGGGAAATCTTCAACCTCTCCAACCATCGCCCCAGAACCTAAATTGCCCCATAACCTACCTCTCCACACTTACTGCGTTGCAGAAAGGTAAGAACAAGGGCCTGCCCCAGCTTTCTTCTCGCCAGCCCCGCACTCACCACCCACCCACCCACCCAGCCACAAGGCCCGAGGCTCAGAGAGGAGGCTGCATCTCCCACCTCCTGAGCCCAGATGAGCCTTTGGATGAGCAAGTCTGGCCAAAGCAACCTAGAGAAAGAGGGCATGGGGACGGAGATCAGCAGGCTCACAACGAGTAGTGACCATGCCTGGCCAGTCCCAGCTTCCACTCGAGGAAGCTCAGGCCCACCATTCAATGGTCTCCTGAGCCACACCCCTCTAGAGAAGGAGGAAGGTGGAACAGAGGAAACATGACTGACTCTTTCAAGAGGACTGTGCTATCGGAAGTTAGGGAAAAGTCAGACTGCCAGCACGGGGGGCACATCCTGAGAATGGGGGTCCACAAGGTGTGGACATGAGGCAGGGGAAGCCCCAGGCTGGGCTGCCTCGCCCTCCTATCCCCTGCTGTCCTTCCCCAGATAAAAGTACAAACCAACCTCATCTCAACTGAGTATCCGACTTCAAGGGAATAAGGGCAACTCTCACATACGGACCCACACTGCGCTCACACGGAGTCCTTTATATAAACCGTCTCCTGCTCCTGCATGGTGAGCCGTGAGGCATCAACTCCATTCACAGGTGAGGCTCAGTGCCTTGTCCTTCTAGTAACTGGTTGAAATGGGATGGGAATCCACAAGATCTGATCCCTGAGCCCACGCTGAGCTGCCTTTGTGCCCTCTGTCAGCTCCTGCCTGGTGGGAGTGTTTTTCCAGCCACGATTTCCTCTCATCCAGAAGAGTCCTAGGCGGTAGAGCCTGTTCCTGATCCCTTGGAGGGGAGCACACCGAGCAGTCTGTTAACCTGCTCTGGGTCTCACAGCTGGTCTGTGGCTGAGTCTTAATGTGAGAATAGATCAGATGTTCCGGGTTCAGAGTACTTTCTACTACAATCCTGTTCTCCTGAAGCGCCTCACTCCCACGGCAAAGGACAGGGAGGAAGACTGTGTCAGGAGGGAAACCCACAGCCCAGCCCACCTCCAGGCCAGCCACACTCCCCGCCCCTGCTCGGGATTCCATCTGCACCTAACACCCACTACTCCTACTCCTGGTCTGTGCCTGCCAAGCCCTGGGGTACCCCTATCTTACTGTGGCCCTGCAGAGATCAAGGAGCATCTGCTCTGAGGTGGGTGTGACTACCCAGATCTCTCAGACCCTCCTGCCTCAGACTTGGCCTCAGCCAGCAAGATCGGGATGGTAGGAAGGCTCATTGGGGTTTCTTGCTGCCCAGTTCCAAAGGTCCAGGCAAAGTGCCACCCAGAAAGTAAGGTACAGGGAGTACCTGGTGGTACAGGCAGCATGGATACCTGTGGAGGGTTGGGTGGTGGGTAGGAACAAGGATGGCTAGACTGCTGAGCACTGACTGTGGCAGGAGGGGGATGCCCTGCTACACAGGGACCACACTGAGCCCTTAGAATAGTCTCCCTTATGGGTAGATATGACGGCCCCCTCCCTTTTGCAGGAGGAAACTGCAACTCCGTGGTTACATGACTTGCTCAAGATGACTGCTTCTATTTGACTCAGGAGACCGTGCTCTTGACTTTCAGACTCTCCTGCCTCTGTGCAACAGTGCAGGCAGCCCAGCAACCCACAGTCACCACCCTCACTATCCTCGAGTCTACGTATCAAGAGGGTGACAAAGGCTGACTCTGACAGAACCCTGACTCTAGCTACAACTTGCCCAGCCCAGTCCAGCACAGCACATCCCTGCCCTGATCAGACTGGAGTAGGGGGAGAGGTGCTATAACCACATCCACCCATTTTCTCCTGCAATCCTGTACGTGAATTCCACTTGTCTTTGCTCCCAGCAAAGAGGGCACTTCCAAGTCAGGGTCTGCCACGACAAGAGCTGTGGATTCAGGGTGAACGGGTTCAAATCCTAGCTCCACCCCTCACTAGACCAGAGACCTTGGGAAAAACATGCCTCCCAAAGGACATGAACTGGATCTGGCTTTTTACATAAATTTCCTGAATTTAAAATGTTGGCAACTGAATCAGAATTTTTAAAACACTTTGAGAGGGCCAAACTAAACACATTCGTGGGCCAGAATCAGCAGGTAAGAATACACGCAGTGTAAAGCCCTGAGTACAGTGGTTGGAGATCCGTGTAGGTGCTAGTTATTAATACCATGGCAGCCTTGGCCAGGCTGGAGAATCCTCCTACCAGCGCCCACCCGGGAGGCATCCTCAGACAGAAGAGGCAATGACCCTGTATAATAAGGAAGGTCCCCTAAACAGACTCTGTGACTGCCCACACCCTTCTCACAAGGCTGTTTCCTACTACCCATGGACCAACAGGTGTCAGCACGCAGACCTATACCCCATCCCAAGCCAATTCCCCATCGAACCTGTCCTCCACAAAATGTCCAGGGATTCATTCTTCTGGGTCAGGGCTGCCCCATCTGAGGCTATTATTAAGGGAGCAGATTTTGTGGTAGCTTAATTGGAATAATAACTAGGCTTCAGAGGGAAGCCACTGTTTGTGAGTGCAGTTTCTTTCCTTTGAACCAAGTCTTTTTCCAAGGCCTCCCTGATTCCAGTGTGCTCCCACTGTCATGAGTGAGCCCCCACTGTCACATCAGCTAGTGAAGCCCCACATGAGGCCTGGGCCCCATGAGGCAACCCTCTGTATCATGAATCACCTTCCCCCCAAACACAGCAAAAGGACCAGGGAGGACTCTTCCAAAGCTGAAATTCAGGCCTGCAAACACAGGTCGGGGTAGAGGTGCACTCCAGTCTGGGCGACAGAGTGAGACTCCAACTCAAAAAAAAAAAAAAAAAATCTCCTTTCCCTGCCACTTTTACCAGCCCATTTGCACCTTCCATGACACCCCCAGCATGGAGACACATGTAGGAAGCTTTCCTTCTCAGCCCCCTCCCCTATCTGTCCTCCGCCTCACAGCCAACCTTGGCAGTCCAGTGGGCTCCGCCTCCAGAATACACCCTCTTTTTTCCATCTCTACTGTCACTACACTAGTCCAAGCCAGTCTCATCTCTTGCTGGATTCCTTGTTCATCTTCCAGCTTCCACTACTGCACCCCCAAAAGCCAAGCTCCACATGGTAGCCAGAGAGATCCTTAAACAGCACAAATCACAAGTCAGCTGTGGTGGCATGCGACTGTAGTCCCAGCTACTCAGGAAGCTGAGATGAGAGGACTGCTTGAGCCCAGGAGTTTCAGGCCATTGTGGGCAACACAGCAAGACCCTGACTCTAAGAAAAAAATTAAGATAAAAATTTTAAAAGCATAAATCAGATCATATGATGCTCCCACTGAAAATCTTTCAAAGGCTTCCTGCTGATCAAAGGACAAATCTCAAGCTCCTGACCACAAGACCCTGCACAATCTGGCCCCTGTCTACCAGAACCAAGTTCCTATTGATCACCATGCCCTTTCTCACCACCTTCCAGCCATGCTGGCCTCCTTTCATTCCCTTGAACAAGCCAAAGAGCCATGCTTAGAGACTTTTGCACACATAGGCTGTACCCCACACTGCCTGCAATGTCCTTCTATGCAGTCTATGCATCCGTTAGGTTTGGGCTCAAATGCAGCCTGTGTCAGTCTATGCTCATAACCCATCTAAAGAAATCCACCGCCCAATGTTTTCAGAGCACCCATCCCAGGCTGTGTTTGTTAAGCTACTTGTTGAATGTCCTCTTTGGGAATGTATGCTTCATCGAGTGTAAGAAGCATTCTGCCTAGATCTCTGCCGGAGCCCAGCGACCCCGCTGCATTGCACCCCACTCATACTAGGGAGTGCTGAGTGTGCTCTTGTCCCCTTCCTCCAGAAGTGTCGGGACCACACAGCCCAGTGGGCCTGCCTGTAGCTTGCAGGAACAAACACCCCAGCCCAAGATTTCACCCTGTTTTCACAGCCTGCCTTCCCCGTCTTAACCTCACACATTTTCCAGGAGGCTTTATTTGGTTGGGCTCCTGGCTAATGATCAATGTCAACTCAGTAATAGGGCAGCAATTTGGTGGCAGATGTTTTCTTGGCAGCACTAGCCATTGGTCTTAGTGGGGGCCTCGGGTCTGGACTTGAAACACCCATGCCCAATGCCAGCCCCCTTTAAAGACCTCTCTGCAAATAAACTCAAATAAACACCCTGGGCCTCCATTAACGCCCTTCCAGCTGACCCTGGGAACAGAGGGCCTTTCAGGAGTGCTACTGCAGCCGCTCCCTGGGCAGTTAAAACACCCTCACCTGGCCTCCGGCCTCTCCTCTCCCGGGGCCACCAGGCCTGCCCTGCCCGCCACCACACAGCAGGATTTCGTCCTCCTCCTTAAAAAAGGGGGAAAGAAGGGGCTTTCAAGCAGGCAATTTACCATTCCAGACACAATCTTTCAAAGAGAAACAAAAACTCTCCCTGTCTGAGGCAGACCGCTAAAGCGTGTGTGTAATAAGATGCTAATACAATTTAATGATATTTCGGCTGGAAAACCTGTCCTCAGAGCCTCCTTGTGTCGGGAAGGCCAGACATTCAGAAAACAAGAGCTGCACACTCTTAAACCGCTTTAAACGGGGGGTCAGAGCCCCAGTCTTTCCTATCTCTCATTAACTTTAATGCCTTCTCAGGGACAGTAATTGCAGTTACAAAAATGATTTTGTACACACAGAGTAGAGAGGGCTGCTGCCTGGGATCCTCAAACCGGCTCCTTGGACCTGTTTCTCCTAGCCTAGGGGAAGCTTGAACCCTCCTCTGACACTCACCACTGCGCACTGCAACTAGCTCCAAGTGTCCCGAAGGGCACCCAGCTTCCTTTGAACATGCTGCCCACACTCGCCCTCCAGACCAGTTCTGAGGACAGACCAAGA